TAAAGAACTGGTTGAGAGCAAGGAGGATGATGTTTCTACTTACCCTTTCCTGTTAGTTGTTTTTCCTGCCGTGAGCCCCTCACCCCTTCACCCTCCCTCACACACTTCCCACAAACAGTATTTTCTACAGTTTGTTGGAAGAAATGCTCAGTCAGTTCCAGTCGGCTACCAAACTCACCTTCTAAGACGATGAGTAGCACTTAAAGGCCCTAGAGCTACCAACAGCAGTCGGCATGCAATGGCTACGTCACCACCTCCAGAAGGGCCCCGCGCGGCCCTGACGGTCGACAGCAACGGGGTCTTCAGCCACTGCTGAATCTAATAAAGGACTCCAGGTCAAAGAATAATATACAGTGAAATTTGTACCTGCTGTTAACTTTCTCTTCCCGTCTGTCGGGGTCCAGCCCCAGGCAGCAGCTCAGCACCACGCAGCCGCTTGCTGCCCCTGCCCTGGTGGGATGGGGGAGAGAATTGGAGGAGTAAGAGTGCGAAACACTCCTGGGGTGAGATAAGAACAGTTTAATAATTGAAATAAGGTAAAATAGTAATGATAATAATAACAATATAATAATGATGATAATAACAATATCCAAAGCAAGTGCTGCCCAATGCAATTGCTCACCACCCGCCGACCGATGCCCAGCCAGTTCCCAGCAGCGATCGCTGCTCCCCGGCCAACCCCCCCAGTTTCCATACTGCCCATGACGCCGGATGGTATGGAATGGCCCTTGGGGCAGTTGGGATCAACTCTTCTGGCTGTGCCCCCTCCCAGCTCCTTGTGCCCCTGGCAGAGCAGGGGAAGCTGAGAAGTCCTTGACTGGCACAAGCAGCACTGAGCAACAACTAAACCATCAGCGTGTTATCAGCATTCTTCTCCTGCTAAATCCAAACCACAGCGCTGTGCCTGCTGCTGGGAAGAAAATTAACTCTATCCAGCTGAAACGAGGACACCCTCCAAACACAGTATTTATTTTACATCAAACACTATCTGCGTGTTATGAAACGAGCAAATGTATACGGCCACCCAGACTGCCAGAAAAAGGGAACGAATGAAAACACGCACAGTTACCTTAGGCTCATCCTTAGGGCCTCCCATACCTGAGCTGGAGAGAGAACGCCCACGGCAGTCCGCGTGACTTTCTCACGCACGCCATAACAAGGCACGCAAGAACGAGGACTTACGGAAGTCCTACTTGCGTGTAAGGCAAGCTAGGCTCTCCTAAGTGCCTATCATTTTTGTTCATTCCCAGTCGTAGAAGGAAAGCCAATGATACCTCTGTAATCTTGCTCAACACTTCAAGTCATTTAAAATAAGATGTGGTCTGATATCACACACGTACACCTGAGGATCGTGACGTTCTGCTGATCGCAGTGGGACAATCCCCGCTTCGTGTTCATGACCTACAAAATGTGGAGTATTGAATTCTTGATTTAGCTTCATGGATTTTAGAGTGATGAAATTATAATACTATATTCCTACAATTTTGACATGCGTATCGTTAAGTATTTTACCTTCCAAATGTAAACCAAGTTCTAATATTTTAAAAGACAAAACTTTTGAACTTTTTTCCTCCATAGCCACTAATTATGATTAAGAACTGGCTTAATTTCCAAGTCATCTAGAAATAACGTCCCTATAACTTGTTTTACATCAAAATAAGTTGAGCTAGATCAACTTACATTTTCAAAACAGCTATTTCAAAATCTGCAGGAGTGTTTAAGAATTTTAGATGAATGCAATGCTACCACATTGCAACTATGGGCAAAGAGCATATATGCAATGATTGCATTATTCGGATCCTAAAGGAATTTTATTAAAGAATTATATAACTAGCATAGAAGAATTACTATACTTTTTCATAACAATCCCTTTGCTTTTAATAAGCTGGTATTGGTGCCAAATAACTGAGGTTGTAACTATTGTGTCTGTTTCTGGCTGAATGGACACTTCTGAGCACAGAATGAATGGAGTTCATTTAGAGGTCTTGCAAATGGACTCGGACTCTTTTCATGCATAATGGATTTCAGTAAGAACATTTAGGACAAACAACTTTTTTTTTTTTTTTCATTTAACCCTTTTACGTTAAAGGGAGAGAGTGGGAAAGAAAGAAAATTCAGAATAATTTGTTATTGTTCCCCATTCAGTGATGGCACGCAGACTTGTTTCACGGGAAATAAAGAGACCAAGATCAGTCTGGAGGGAATTATCTCAATTTCCATGCCTAAAAATGAACTACAACAGTCCTGATGCACTAAATAATAATTTTTAAAAAAGCTTAATTATTTAATATTACCACTTTGCAAACCAATTTAATCATGAACAACAGGTTTCTAAGTTAATTATGCTACTAACACAACAGCTTCTAGACTTTAGAAATCACAGTTTTCTTGTGTTTACTCATGTCGTTAAATATGTTACAATTCATAGATGCAGAAGGGGTGACAAAAGAAGGTGGAGTGACTTAAATGTCTATTTTTTTAATATTTTAAATCCAGACTTAACATTATCTGAACACATTAACATTCTTACATGTTTGGGATTACCCTTTGTTCACAGAGATATACATGTACAGTGTGAATTACATTTAAAGACAAAATCCAACCTCGCATTTAAGACTTATATGAACTAGGACCCATTCGATCCTCTTACTGTTTCTAAAAATAGTGAATTAATATATTTTTATTCTAGAATTCTCTGACAAAAAATAGGAATTCCTTTTAATAAATGAAGTCAAATGCAAAGAAGTCTGGAAAAACTCCCTATTTTTTAGGTAGTATTTTATCTTGCTTTCCTAGGGGAATAGCACTGTTCTCTCACTGCCTGAACTAACCCAAATTTGACAGCACTGAAGACGTCTGAGATAATTACATTCCTATAGATTTTGTGAAAATTGGTGCTTGGGAGAGACAAGGATACCGCAGTGGAAACACAGATAGGTCGAGGGACACAAATCCATTGAAAACTAGGCTTAATTAGTTACGTCGTTCTTTTTCTCATGATTACTCATCACTTTCTCGATATCCTGAGGAACACAGCTATCAAAACTGGGATGAAAACGTGCTCTGGCAATCCATACGAAGTTTCCAATATTATTAGGAAGGCAGAATCCTGTTCACAATGTGGTTGCTACAGGGGGGAAAAGAAATCCCCAAACCAACAAAAAACCCCAAACCAGGAACTTCCCCCAACGTCCTCCCCCCGCAAAAGACAAAATCAACAGCCACCCCCCAATCTCCCTCCCCAAAAAACCCACAACAAAATGTAAAACAACTAACAAACAAAACTGCTACCCCCACCCCCCCCAGTTTTATGCACCATCTCAGCTGACTCTCAGCCTCATTAAACTTTCTGTTCTCCTTCACGGAAGCTGTAGAAATAGAGAGATCCAAAGCACCAACAGCTTTTCAAAAGAGAATTGGGACCTACTTTCTCTCCCGGCTTTCTCCCTCCCTTGGTGGATAAGTGTGTCTTCACACTCTTTGTGAAATGTGAAAGTATTATTTTTCTGAACATACAAAAATGTTCTGTGAGACAAATAACTTTGGCTACTTGAAATCAATGGAATCACTTACATTAGAAGAGTTCCTGTTAGTGAAACCGCCGCCAGGATGTTTCGCGATCATATAATGGCTTAATTATCTTCTGACATCAGTACCCGGTACTAAATCAAAACAGTTGACAAACAACACACCTACAAAAATGCCCATGCCTTTGCTGATTTTTTGATGTCCAAGTAATCACTTGAGAACTCTCAAAAGCAAAATCTCAAACATCCTTTTATCAATGTTTACGCACTCATTGTGTATATATGGTATTGTACACCATAATAGGCTTGAAATGCCTTGTTCTATTAGTTTTATTTCTATTATTTCAACATTATGGCCACATAATGTATCTTCTGAATATATTAAATGTTTTTGGTGTCAATACAGTCTGATTGTACTGATTAACTTATGAGCAAATTTGATGATAAAACATAAAGTGTTGCCCACACATACAGCAAATGAACATATGACACATTTCAAGGTTTATTGCTAATCCATTCACAAAACCACACGCCTTTTCTACGGAATAGCTCAAGGACAGGCAATCCTGACTTACTGTCCTTGCTCACTCTCTTACCTCCTCCTCTTCCTTCACCATTCGTATGATCCTCTGACAAGCAATTCAGATGGTTAAATGGCCAATAAAGTGTATAGTTTTAGAATTATTCATGAACCTGAATAAATCCCCAGAGGGGAAAAAACAATAAATTTCAGGCAAGAGATGAGGCAAGAAAAGTTCCCCCTTTAGCAGCAACAGTTAAATAATTTGATATATTCAGTGGTTTTATTCAAATAGAAAAAATAAAATCACAGTTGTGTTCAAGCCAACCACCAAGTGATCAAGACCTCCTCCATGAGCTTGTCTCCTGGAGCCTTTCTTTCCATTATGTTCCCCAACACCCTCCATCGAGCTGCTCTCAGACAACCAGGTAACATCACACTAACCTTCTATAACCACAGCGCTAGAACGCAAGTGTTTTACATAGTTTTTACTTAAGAGGCTCAGTTACTCTGAAAATCATATTGAGCATCACATGACAAAGCATTCATACCATCCTCTCTTCTTTTGTAGAGTGTAGGGCTTGCCTCTGCAGCAGGTGAAATCAAACAAAGTCAGGCTTGTCATGAAGCTATTATACTCCACGATTGTCATAAGGCGACTACAGAACACTTCCAGTTATGGGATCCATATTCAGTCACAATCACTTTTACAAAATAACTTGCATGTTTTACTCAGAGTCTAAGAGTGGCATCTAATGTATATCTAATGGAGCCGCTGCCGTTGCAGGGATGGAACCTATAGAGATGGTGGGTTTCTAGAAGAACTGGTAAGACGACGTCAACAACACTGAGCAGACTTGTATTATACAACCAATGCTTTGGTCAGAACTAAAGCAGCACACAGGTTTATCTAAAACTCAGCCATTTAAGGCCATCAAAGCTGTCTAGAAGATGCAGGGGAAACTGCATTTTGTGAGGCTACAACACAAAAATGCGCATGCAGTGCTGTAACTCCAATAAACAGGCGCTGGTAGAGGTTGTTGTGTATAAACATGGTGCAACACGAGCTAGTTGAAGCATGGGCATGAATTTGCTTCTGCAAACCTCAGAGGACAGTGAGGACGACCCTGCCAGCACCGCAGTAAGGCAGGTGTATATCCAGTCCATACTGGAACAACATACTGGTATAACAAGAGTCACCAGAGAATTCCTGATAGAGGTCTTCGTTGCATTTACACACATTTTCTGGCATTACGGCTGTACAGTAGGGATATGGTATTTTCATGTTCCTAAATAATATCACTAATGAAACATTGTGAATAGACCTGGCCTATGTAAAGTCTAGCGATTACACCGGGAAGCTTCTCTTGCCTCTGTAAAAGCTATCTGGATTATGGATATTACCTTTTTTTTTTTTAACAAAAGTTTTATTTTGATCATATTCCTCTTTTTTTTTTTTTTCTAAATATGATCCATTGCTTAGTGCAAAGGGGTCACCCTGGGACTGTTTTCCTCCTGTGTGACTCGGTTAGAATAAGCTCATAGAATTCAGTAACTCGAGGAAGAAAAGTAGGCAAGCATGATTTTAAACGCTGTAATTCTACTCAGGCAACTCTACGCAGGCACCAAGGAACAGAATGGAGGAACACAGCCTTGCCGCAATGCAAAAGGGCAGGAGAGAGCCACTGCATGTTTATTATGCATCCAGGGAAAGGGAAGCCAGAATTGCTAGTTTTCTCTCTTCCCGAGAGGAAGGAAGAAATGGCAGTGAGCCACTGTTGACAGCAGCACTCTATTCCCTCCATCCCAAAGAGGCTCTGACTGTGAAAGATATTCAGATCATCTACTGTAAAATGACCGTACATCTCTGATCCCTGACCGACCATTTATCCAGTCAGAACTTTAGAAAAGGAGGTATAAAAGCAACGTCTCAGAACGCGTCTGACAACAAGCCCAGAAAGTCTGCAAGTAGCAGCTATCATCAGTGGGATGCTGTGGCTCTGATGCGGCACCGATTCACTGACGTACTTCTGGCAGCAAAAATTCACT